TTCTAGGGGGACCTAACGATTCTGTGAATCGACAGCACTCAGTGCTCAAGAGTAGCTACCTCAAGGAGGTGTCGCTAGCTCTTAGTGATCAGTGATCAACGATCAAGACGGCTCGCAAGCCACGTGTCCTTCAGATCAAAATGGGAACTGATTTTATTTTGTTAAAGCCTATAGAATATCTTAATCCTCCTCAAAGATCTTTCGTACCTAATGGCTGACACTCGTCAGCCCCTACAAACCAATAAGATATTCGATATCACCTTAACAAAGAGATAACCTCAGGTGTGTAACACCCCTGGTACAACGTACCATAATTTCGTGCAACCCCGTTACACCCTCCCCCACCAGACTGACGTTTGCCAAAACTTCAATCGAACTTGTGTTCTCAGCGAGAACAGTGCGCGTACGGTGAACCTCACGGTAACGTACGCTCCAGCACGATGTCCTCATCACCAAACGAGTCAAAGGCTTTGTGTGACTACCTCGGGATAGAGGAGGAGGTGGACTATGGTAGCGATACCAGTGTCCGCGGTGATACAGGGACGATGTCCGGCTCACTGATGCCTGAGGCACAACTTTCGAACACCCCAAATCCGTTCGCTGAACGTGGAGGTGCGAGCGCGCCACCAGCGCAGTATGCAGCGTCTGGGTCTGATGAGACTATCATTACGAACCCGCTCGATGAGCAACAACAACTGCTTGTTCAAAGAGAAGAAAACGCTCAGCGTCATGTACAAATGGCTACAACCCTTGAACGACAGCGTGACCATGTGTTCACCCCACCCAGTGTGGAGGAACGTCTACGTCAAGCGGCCGGCCAAACATTGGCAACGTGGGTCATTGGCCATGGGCCTAAGACTCCTGAGGATGTTGTGAGCTGCCAGGCACTTCGCGAGAGGTACCTGATGCCGCACCTAACGACTCAAAGTCAATACAAGGCACGCCTTAACATGCAAGCACGCGGTGCACCGGTTCCACCTATCAAGGGTATACCCATTCTCTTGTTCGCAGGCGAAACAGTGAGCGAAGAAGACGATGCCTTTGTTCACTGGGTGCACTATGTGCGTCGCCTCAGCGACATTTTTGCTCTAAGGGCTAGTGCCAGTGTGGCTGACGTGCGTCTTGAACGCAAGCTTCGGTATGATTATGCCAAGCTTAAGGCCAGAGGCCAATTGCGCAAGCGCACGCGCTATTCTTCGGCTACTAAGGTAGCCGCGAGTGATGGTCAGTATTTGGCCAACAACCCGCCAACCCGCACCACTAGTGGTGGGGAACGGCCTCGGCCTCGAGACGACCATGGCCACGATGCTCAAAAGCCTCCAAAGCATATGGGCAGTCTTGCCGAAGGGGTACCTCAAATTCCCATGAGTTTTCAGACTCAGGGTACCCACGCCACTTTACCTGTTACTGGTATGGCCCTAACGACGACGTCGTTTCAGTAGTCTCTCGACATGAAATTGACGACACCCATTCTCATCGAGCAAAGTCGGTGGCGGCCGGTGTACCGGTGGAGGCCCACGCCCAGCCCACGAGAAATTGGTTCTCGAAGTGAAGGGTCTTCAAGAGGCCTTGGGTAAGTCCCAGTGCATACTGGATGCGATGCAAAGCCGCCTTCAGGCGATGGAGCAAGCTCAAACTCGGAGCGAGGCTCAGTTGGACTTGCTGATTCGTCTACAGCAATCCGGGGCAGTGCCCTTGTCGTCGGCGCAAGCGCCTCCAAGTTCACATGGGAAGGATCCCGATACGGCTTAAGTAAGCCTACGTAGAACACTGGATGTGTGCGCAATTTGCGCGGAAGGTTTAGCGTATACGCAAGTCCCTTCTTGGCCGTGACCGTAAACGGTCCAATAAAGCGTGAACGCAACTTCGTCTTAACGACAGCAGACACTACATTTGTAGGTAGATTTTTAGCATTGAGTAGTACTCGGTCTCCGACCTCATAACGTTCAATACAATTTCTGCCTTTGGCATCAGCTTGTTGTTTTTGGGTATCTTGGCTATCAGCCATTGCGTCACGCACATGTCGTAAGACATTTAATCGCGTTGCGAGAAACTCGCTTACCTGTTTTTGAACAGTAGCAGGGCTGATATCAGCAAGCCGATTAGCAACTCTCCCCACCAAGCCCTGATTCACGTAGTGATAGCGTTAACGGAACGCGAGGGTGGGTGAGACCGTTTATAGAGAACGGAGTAAAGCCTGTTGAGGCATGAACAGCGTTATTCAACGCAAACTCAACAACAGGGAGCATTGAGCTCCAACGCCTAGGCGTATCAGCGCAAATACTGCGCAAAATGTCGTTGATGACGCGGTTTACGCGCTCAGTTTGACCGTCAGTCTGCGGATGATCCGCTGTGGACATGTCCAACCGAGTGCCAATCACCTTGAAGATAGACTTCCAAAACTTCCCAGTGAAGCGGGGTCTCTATCAGAGATAATTGACACAGGCAAGCCATGTTGGCGAAACACACGTTCGATAAACAGCTTTGCTGTACCTTCAGCATCGATGCTATCCGGCACAGCCGCTAAGTGATCCATCTTGCTCAATCGGTCAACAAAGACCACAATACCAGTGTTGCCTTCCGAATCTTTCGGTAGGCCAAACACAAAATCCATGCTCATGGACTCCCAACAACCAGTGGGTACTGGCAAACTAGCCAGCGGCGCCGCCGCATGTGCCGAGGGTTTTACCCGTTGACACGTTTCGCACGTACGCACATAGGTGCGCACCCACTTATAAAGTTTGGGCCACCAATAACTTTGGCTCACCGTGCTATAAGTCTTCTCACGACCGAGATGACCACTTAAAGCAGTATCATGTGCCTCACAGAGGATCCGATACTTTAATTCCTCATCATGAGGTACAATGATACGAAGGTTGTCCTCAATATCCGTGCGATAGCACAACAGGCCATTATCGATGGAATATCGATGTAGCCTCGCACGTAAACGTGCCGACAATTCTATGTCCGAGTCTATAAACTCATCGCTTCCAAGAGCCCGTAGCAAAGCTACACACTGTTCATCCTTGGCATATGCCGCACGATTTAAGTCAGTGACCGACGACGACAGAGTCGTAACATGAGCAAGCTCATAGTCAGGTCGACGCGATAGCGCATCAGCCAAAGCGTTTTGCTTACCTGGCTTGTACTTCACCTCGAAGTTATATTCGGCAAAGAAGGAAAGCCAACGAGCCATTCTCTGTGAGAGATGAGGCGACTTTGTCGCAGTGCGTAATGACGCATGATCTGTATAGACCACAAACGGCTTTGAGCCAAGCAGATGTACTCTGAATTTGACTAGAGCGTACTTCATAGCAATTAGCTCTTTGTCATGAACTGGATAGTTCTTTTCGGCAGCTTTCAGCTGTCGAGACTCGAATGCGATGACGCGTTCGCGTCCATCGACATCTGTTTGTAACAGAGCACTGCCTATGGCAAAGTCAGATGCGTCACAGACGACACTGAAAGGCCGATCAGGATCGGGCAAAGCCAATATTGGCGCATGAAGGAGACTTTCCTTAACGGCTTCAAACGCATCATGTTCGGTGTTACTTTAACACCAATCCACATCCTTTTTAAGGAGATTGGACAATGGCCGAGCCATATCTTCGTAATTCGCACTGTACTTATGTAAGTAATTGGCAAGGCCAAGCCACTTACGCAAGTCCTTTCGGTTTTTGGGGACTGGCCAATCGACTATGGCTTTTACCTTAGCGGGATCCGCTCGAAGGCCTCACTTCCCAATGAAGCACCCTAGAAATGGAATCTCTTCTGCACCAAAGATGCACTTCGATTCGTTAGCATACAACTTATTCGTTCGCATACAATCGAGCACCGCTCGTAAATGATCAATGTGGTTGACCACATCTGACCGCCCATTCATTGCACGACTATGGACAAAAATTTCACCAAAGTACGTTTTTGCATAGCCTCGATGAGGTCTGAATAGTTGCGTTACCAACCGGTTAAATGTAGCCGGGGCGTTAGATAGCCCTTGTGGCATAACAAGCCACTCCCAGAGCATACCGCTCGGAGTACTCACCGCTGCTAGCGGAATATCACTTGCTCGCAAGAGCAGTTGGTAATAACCATCGACTAATTCGAGTGCACTGTACAATGTACATCCTGCCATATTGTTCTGAAGAACATCCTTTCGAGGAATAGGCGTCTGCGCCGGTATAGTGGCTGCATTAAGCTTATTATAAGCATGCACAATACGCCACTTGCCATTTGGCTTTTTTACACAAAATGTCGGTGTTGAATGGGGAGACTTGCTCTCACGAACCATTCCAGCCGCGTGCTTAGCACGAAAGAAGTCGTCAATGACGTCACACTGTTCTTTAGGCAAAAGCCACTGCCGTGTTGCACAGTATTTAGTTCCAGGAACTAAGTCAATCTCATGACGTACACCTCTATCGGGAGGTAAGGCAGAAGGTGGGTTGTGACATACCACATCTTGAAATTCCTTAACTAAAGGATAGAACGGATCCAAAGGATCTTTAAGGATCGAAGATCCACTTCGTGCACTAAGTGCCGCCTTTGTATCCTTTAGGACAGACTCATCCATTAACGAGGAAAAATTCAACTCAGTATCAGGTCTAATGACCGCTAACTCGGATAACTCTCCTGCCTTCAAGGCCTGGCTAAACTCGCCAACAGACATTTCGTCTAGCTCACAAAGAGCGTCCACAGATGGAAGGGGATCAAGGCAAACACTGTTATCAACCTGACCAGTCACTCCATTAACAAGTGTATATAGTGTATTACTATTATCACTATGTGACTGTGAGGACGCCTAGCGCTTAAAAGTTGCTACCCGGCGTCTCGATCGTCTCTTCGAGACCTTACACCCCTTAGGGGTCGGGCCAACATTGTCCCCATGGTTACTACCAACCATAGTACGCTCTATACGAGAGCTTTTGTCTTGACCGACATCCAGTGAAGTGTTACGCAACTCGAGCACTTCACCCAGTGGATTGAAACGTGCCACTCCACGTGTATTATGGGCCTAGCCCCAAATTTAACGGCGTCTCGCCAATAAGGTCATTACCGACATTAGGTGTGATGCCCTCACGGCCGTCCACACCATACGGCGTATCGCCAACAAAATCATTACTGACATTAGGTGTGGTGCCCTCACGGCCGCCCACACTGTACGGCGTATCGCCAACAACGCCATTACCGGCGTTAAGCGTGGTGCCCTCACGGCCGTCCACAATATACGGAGTATCGACAACAATATCATTATAGACATTCCGTGCAGTGCTCTCACGGCCGACCGCACTCGGTGTAGTTTCACGTGCCACCATACACACATCAAAGGAATCACATCCTTGATCACTCGGCCCTAGGCCAACCATGCTTTCAGCATGCAGTGACTCGTTATCACAACGAGTAACACTCAACGGAGTACGTGCCGTTTCACTAGACGAGCTAAGCTCGAAACTTGTGTTTGTAACATTGGAGTTAGACAACTCAGACATTCCAATATCCAGCACATTGACATCTTCTGTCAAAGGCTCGCGCCAGTAGCGTTTTTGTTGCCTAGCGAAGGTGGGTTCATGACTCTCCGAAGCTTCGCCAGGAACATTGCGCGTAGCACCTAAGGTCTTGGACCTCCAATCAATCCATGGCTCATGGCGCTCAAGCCAAGCCATACCTAGGATGAGATCATATCTCGAGTCCAAATCTAGGACAAGACAGCGCTCAATACTGTCGAAGTCTAAAAACTTTATACCTGAGTCCTATGGAACTTTAGGCACAGTTACGCGACTTCCAGTCGCTAAACGAACCGTGATAGAATCACCCTCATGCGCTGTAAGCGCCTCAGCATAACGCTGACTTCCCTCAAGGGAACGGCGTCGAGCATAATTGCAAGACGCTCCAGAATCGACCAATATCGACCAAGGCTTCTCAAAGCCCTTAGTTTTCGCCTCGGCGACCATAAAGCCAGACTTGTATCCACGCACCATACCTGTAGGTATGGTACTCTTTGGGGCTAAGCCCTGCATTCCTTTACCTTCTAAAGGTGTAACAGAACATAGTTCTTCCCCAGTAGGGCGCCCCGCGCCTACTGGGTGTCGGCATTTCCCCGTGCCATGCCAGACTTCTGACTCGGGGTCGAGTGTTGGCTCGTAGCCTGGCGTTGCTTACGCAAAGGGCAACCAGGCCGCAAGTGTTTAGTGCTTCCGCACGTAAAGCATCGTCGTACGACGTGTTGCTGCTCAGCAGCTTGAAGCTCAGCTTCACCTCCATCTTCAGCATAGCTGAGATCCATCGGTTCCGGCCTATTATAGGCAGTGGTACCTGAATAGTTTGCTCTCACAGAGCGAAAATTGAATTCATTCCAACCAAGTCTGGCCGACTTGAAGTTATGCTCAGCAGTAAGAGCAATCACAGCCTCTTCAAACGTAGAGGGGTGAATCTGAAAAACCTCGGTTCTGGCAATGCCAGTACGTAGACCTTCCATGAAGATAGTCACATAGACTGCTTCAGGCAGAGGGTCAGACTGCATTGCAGCCATGAGCGTTCGCAGCTCTTGGACATAGTCCGATAGTTCAATTTTACCCTGGCGGGAAGAGAGAAAGCGTGGACGCACGCGGTAAGCCTGGTTAGGTGGAGAAAACACCTGTACCAATTGTGACTTGAGCGACTCCCATGTGGGAAACGCTATGTCCACCGACGTGCTACACGTCAAGGCCCATTCTCTAGCTCTACCATCGAGCTTCGAGATAGCCAGCGAGACCTGTTGATGGTCAAGCGTGATCAGACCTGATCTCATGTCCATCTCGATCTCTCGGATCCAGAGGATGAGGTTCTCACCCTCCTTACCGGAGTAGTTTTTTACTTCCACTCTAAGTGGACGAGGCTTAGACTCTTCGTCTGGTACAGACACGTAGCGTGTAGGCATAGCCGACGCCATTTGGTCTTGCACTTGCCCTAAAACGGTCGCTTCATACTGCATGAAGCTTTCAACACGTGCATTAAGCACTTCAGGACCTTGTGAAACAAGGAACTCCACGTACTCTGGACCCAAAGATGCGGTCAGCTTATCAAGCGCGACCTTTTGGGCCTCAGATAGGGGAGTGGAGTTTTCCATCCCCACAAAGGATCAGTCTTAAAGACTCAGGTGTAGATTGACTACAAGTGCTACCAAGTGTAGCGGAGCTACACAGCCCCTTTAGTCAGAGGAAGACTTAACGCTCTACGAGCAACCTAGTTCCAAAGAACTAACGACTTTACGAGTCAACAAGCTTTACAGCTTCAGATCCCTGTTCTAGGGGGACCTAACGATTCTGTGAATCGACAGCACTCAGTGCTCAAGAGTAGCTACCTCAAGGAGGTGTCGCTAGCTCTTAGTGATCAGTGATCAACGATCAAGACGTCTCGCAAGCCACGTGTCCTTCAGATCAAAATGGGAACTGATTTTATTTTGTTAAAGCCTATAGAATATCTTAATCCTCCTCAAAGATCTTTCGTACCTAATGGCTGACACTCGTCAGCCCCTACAAACCAATAAGATATTCGATATCACCTTAACAAAGAGATAACCTCAGGTGTGTAACACCCCTGGTACAACGTACCATAATTTCGTGCAACCCCGTTACAGAACGCAGCTGGCCTCTGACATATATCTTAGCAAATTCATTACACAGTTTCGTCTTGTATCAAACGTCAATTTTGGTAAAGGCATCTCACAAAGCACTTAAATTGGATAAGTTGTGTGTCCCATGAGCTCAGCGAGTAATTGAGCTGTCATCCTCGGCCTCATCCTCTTCTGGGTACAGATCGACCAGGATCGTTCTTTGCGTTGGTACAGATTAATTACCTGCTTATTCCGTCCGACTGATTCGATACTCGAACATCGCCGTCGCTTTGGGCGTCAATAACTTTTTTTGAAAGCATCACGTATGTTGATGTCGTCGGACGTAAAAGCCTCGTGCTCTGTGAGCCAAGTTGTCGAAGGCTACCCTGAGAAATATCTCAACAACTCGTCAAAGCTCAAAGGATTGAACGATGGTCCGAATGCGCCTCGGCAATAGATAAGATGTATGAGACAGACGTACAGCCTTCCCCTTTATCTCGATAAAGCGCTGCTGTTGCTCATCAAGCTTGTTGGTAAATATGAGCATCAAGAGTGGTCGAAGAACTTAATGCGTTCAGAGCCTAAGCTATGCTTTGTTCTGGAAATGGATTGGCATTATACTTAGGTGGCACAATCGGGTATTCACCTTTTTGTACGGCAGAGTTTCTGTCATAATCGACGATTGTCTTTTCTCGTATGATATTTTTTAAAGACTCGGAGGATGCAAAGACTTGACTTGCGCAAGTTGTCGCGAACACAACCGTAATATTATCAGTTAACCGAGCTATTGTAATAAGGAAGGTGAAGAATGTCTATTAGGTGTACCGACCGTTTGGTGGGGGATGGTGTGATGGGGTTGCAAAAAAGGTTGCATAAACCGGGTAAGCAGGTGAGCAATACACATCTGGATATCAGTTTTACAAGTAGGCGCACTAGTAGGTCACATAAGCTAAGTAGTAATTCCGTAACGTGTCGGGTACGGACTTATGGTATTCAGCGTCATACGGTCTTTAAAGGAGCTACGCAGTTTTGGTTTGTAGCACCTAAAGAGCTTCCGTGAGGGATATTCGAATGTGAAGCATAGTTCAAGAAATTAAAGATTTAAATGATGTTTACCATTGCTACAAAGTAAAAACATTCAGTTTTCCTTTTAATCAGTTTTAAATACGTGTCTTTTCAAGACGTCTCTGGTCATAAGCGTTAAGTGCCTTCAATATAAGGTTAAGTACACGTGGAAATTAGTACCACATGACTCCTTGGAGTCATCAGTTCCTCTGAACAAGGACTAGAAGCTTAAGATCTTGTGCAGAAAATTAAAGACAGTCTTAATAAGCCTTTAAAGGCTTAAGACCCCCTAAATGCCACTCATTTAGTTTAATACACTAAGAGACTCTACGAGTCTAGAAGCATTCCTTTCATTAAAGAATTCCAGTATTTCCTTTACAGTGTGTATGCTAAAGTAAATCGTCTTGCGTCAAGGTACACCATTATTGGTACAGTCTATCGTTGCGTAAACACGACATCGAGAGATAACTGTCGAGGTTTGATCTAGTGCTGTCGTATTTTAGATTTTTGCATCGCATAAAGTATTAACATTGTACAGCTTTCCATTGAAAAAGTGAGTCGTTACTCATTGTAAACTGTATTGCTTGGTATGGTTATGCTTCCGTCAATTATGTCGAACGTTTTATTCGGCAGTGAACTGAGTTTAATGGGTCTAGTAATGGACGAGGAGTAGGAAGTATCAAAGAATTGTGAATATGTATCAATGCAAATGTTCAGCTCGAATGATAGACGATCATGTACACCAATGTACCAGTATGACGTAAAAGAGACCTTAACATAAGCTAATTTGAGCTAAATTTCGCTTCAGCCCTACAAATTTAGCTAAAATTATTGCCTATATGAAATAAAGACGATGGATGCTGGTTTTCCATTTAACGCAATTTTATACGTACACGACCGCCCAAGAGAAGTAGATCGAAATTATTAAAAATTTGGTGCCAGTGATAACTTATACTGTAATTGGCCATTGTTGTCGGTACTTATAACCTCTGCTCAACACTAGGTAATAAAACACTTGATAACTATCGCTACCATCTCCATTGCTAAGGCCCACGCAGTCATTAGTTCACATTTTTGGCTCTAGGAAAAAATGAAAGCAGTCGATCTTAGCCTATTCTTCCAGCATCAGCAAGCGATTGGGTGGTAGTGGTGTTAAGTACGTCCATTAATAGTACGAATAACTGACGACATAGATTTAAAAAAGGGTGATCCGAAATGGATTCACAACGTGGGTGCTCCAAAGAGCCGGGGGCGAGGGATGCTGAGGTCAAAGTCATCCAACTCAAGCCAGATTCGAGCCTATCTTTCAAGAGCTCTCAGTGCAGCGCAGCCCGATGCAGCAGAAGATATTAGACGTCCAAAAGGAAGCCTAATTGAATCGGTGACCGCTTAGCGCGGCCAGCCGACCTATAGCGCGAGTAATAAAAATTTCGTTGTGCGCCGGGAGAACGCCACTAAAGTCGGCGACAGACTCCTTTGTGGTCGCTAAAGCGACCGTTCGATCTGAATTCTTCTATCGCCGAGGCGATGACGATGGCGGGAGGAACGCCCACACGGCATAACAACCCGCCTAGAGACTCTCTATCTGCGATGATGGGCCTCCATGTAAGTGGGCACCCTTTGTTTGGTTTACACGAAACTTACGTATAGCTCTTGTACGTGCAGAGGATAGTTAATTTTCTTAAATAACTCGTTTAAGTAAAGGTGATAAGAGAACTGGATTCAGTATCGTTAAGCTATCAGTATAACGCAATTTTGTCGAACTACATTAATCTACATTGTCGTATGACGTCAAGCTGCGCACCACCCTTTGCGCGCGTCTAGCAGCAATTAGTGGTAATAATTGTTTATGTATAGATCAATATTAATCAATCTTCGAGCAGCACGTGAATATTATCCTAAGAGGTAATATTACTTCTATATTAACGATCTCGGGTAATATTGGCTGGGGATTGTCACGCCACGATATCCCAATTGACACCATTTGGTGCCAATATCGTGTATCGG